AGTGTCAAGAAAAATCACTTACGCCCAAATTTCTAAGCTTCACATCTCGGGTTTTATAGAAAATATGTTCATGAAAATTATAGAGATGGATAAAAAATACATTGTTGCCATGCGTAGTGGCCATACCTTTATTTCAAGGAAACTTGTAGTTACGGCCATTTGAATTAACACGGCAATATACGGGGTTATGATCGACAAGTAATGTTATTTTTAACAGACACGTTATTTGTGAACAGGTTGTAATTTCTGTGTGTTTATAAAGTAACAGACCTGTTAAAAATAACACAGGTTGTCAAGCATAACCCCCATAGTAAGTGTATTCAATTGAAAATTTTTATTACAGAATTCCAATTACAAGACAAAATTATTATATTTTAATGTTGTAGAAGAAAAAATGATTTTCCTTAGTTTCTACAAAATTTCAAGAAACACTAAAATAAATATAATTTCAAGAAAAATTAAAAGTTCTTGGTTCTTGAACAATTGCCGTACCTAGTACGAGTCCTAACCACTATATCTTCGGCCTTTTTATAATTTTATTTCCGTTATATATTAAGAAACTTAAGGTTGAAGAAAAACATCTATTTTTTTAAAAATTACTTAAATTTAATAGTTGTTGATGTTTCTACTATTTGTGAGAGCATGACGGGCCAAAAAGATCTTAATTAAAAAAAAAAAAAAACAGTATTTATTCGAAAGATAAATGACCATTTAAATGTTCGAACAATATACTCCGCAATTATTAAATTTAATGTTTGGGAGGCTTTGTAATTTTTGACGTTCAGAATTTTTTACGTGTGTGATGCAAATAATAAACACTAACTTATTTTGTTGGCTTTGGAATTTTTGACGTTTAGCATTTTTACGTTTTTGACGCACATAATAAAACACTAACTTATTTTGTGGTTTGACGTTTTAAGTTGTTGAAAGCGTGATGGTATCTTTGTGACAGTTTCTAACGTAATTTTTTTTTATTCGTTATTGAAAATGGGTCGCGGTAAAGCAACTCCAAAAAAATTAGGGATTTGATCAAAAACAAATATAAACATAAATTTCCTAATAAATATTTAAAATAAAATTATGAAAAGGCCGAACATATAGTGGTTAGGGCTCGTAAAAGAAACTATGAGTGGTTCTTGTCTAAGTAATAAAAAAATAAGTTGACGCAAAAGAGTAAGACTTTATTTAATAATATATCAAGGAAAACAAATCTATTAAAATTCTCCTATTGTTTGAAGTAGGAAATACTAATATTCAAACATTGTTAATTGCAACAAAAAGTTAAACTCTCTTAAATTATGTAATATGTATCTAGAAAATATTTTTATATATTTTTTAAATTGGCACGGCACTGCACTGCCGTAGATTCAGCAGATTTATTTGGTTCTCTCGATAAATGCAATACCCAGGGGGAGGGGAAAAACTCATATGCGCAAGACTGGACGCCACCCAAAATACACCTTTCCCCTTCACATTTGAAGACAAGTGGATGAAGGGCATATGTAGCAAAATCATTTTTACGAGATATTTCGTGTTAAAGTTTATTATTTGGCAGTTATTCCCTAGTACATGGGTCCTTTATCCACTGGCAACTTCTATATTTGATGATATATTGTCACGGAAGACATTTTAAACGAATTTAGGTACATAAGTCCATCATTAACAGAAAAACACAAATGTTACATAGGCCCTTCATCCACTTGTCTTCATTTAAAAAAAAAATTCACACTCAGGTTTACGTCTCTTAAAGTTCACTGAAAACTTAACTCATGCAGACGGAAATATGGGCTTAGTATGCATAAATGCATTTCTCATATACGCCTGTGCTGTAAAGAGGCATTTGAAGTTTGAGAACGAGTCTGAACGTCGTCTGACCCGAACTAGCACATCAAATGTATGTTTAAGAATCTCGACAGTCAATGTTGTTGATAGTCTAGTCTAAAGTAGTGGTTCCCAACAGGGGCGGTACCGCCCACTGGCATGTGATGAGATCCAAGAGGCCATTTTTGATCCAAGGCAAATTTAGGGGGGCGTTGAGGAACAACTGTCGCCCCCTGAAAGATACTCAAAAGTACCTGATGGAAAGTTTTTCGAAATGAAGGCGGTAGACCAAAAAAAGTTAGGAACCTATGGTATAGAACAGTATTTCCCAAAGTGGTCCAGGTGGACCCACAGGGATCCACGGGAGACTCGACGGGGGTCTGCGTTGGACGTAATAAAAAATGGGGGTCCACAATCGTAAGCGGGGGTGCATGAAAATTAATTTGGTTTCGGTAGCAATATACTATTAAAGAATTGATTACTCATTTTTCCATGTGATGAAGAAATTCTTGTAAAAAACTTCAACTGTTTATAATATAAACAATCAACATTTTAGTTACTTGTTGTTGCCGCGCCGGCCGCCGTCCCGTCCGCAACGCTTGTTCAGACGTGCAAATTAATACGACTTGTGGTGTATGTGCTTGCAATCTTGCATGGACGTGAGGACTTTCTGAATTTTCAAATTATTTAAAACAGAATTAAACATCTTTTTAATAATGGACTATTTTCTGACCGTTTCTACAACTATACTATTTTAGTTGTGTCAGGCATATTAATTATTAATAAAAGCTGTCTAAAAAATAATAAAAAAATGAATGTCAAAAACATATTTTAGGGTTAACAACCCATTATTGTAATATATTTTTGAAATAAATGTTTCATACCCTTTCAAATGAAATGTCACTTTGCTTTCATAAGGGTGTGGCTGTCACCTACAGGGGGATTCATAGGTCATTTTTATACCGTCAGATACTTCAATGAGATGAAAACTCTAAAATAAACAAGTTAAAAAATTGAAGATTTTCTGGTTAAAAATAATACAATTAAATGAAACCTGCTTGAGTAAAATATTACTTGTTTCAGAAATATGAAGTTCAAAAATTAATAATAAATATAATTTTTTAATTACTCAGTATAATTTTACATTGTTGGTGTCATAAAAAAATCAAATAAACCTTGCCACGCCACTGTCCAAAAACTTATTTAGATTATAATTTAAATGTATAAATTTATAAAAAAAATCCAAAATTACAAAAATTAAAAAGAAATTAGAATGAAGAATATGAATTCCCAACCAGAGTAACTGATTTATTTACTCAAAACGCCAAAAAATTTAAAATAATTTTTGGACAGTGGTGTAAAATTTAAAAGGGATGAAGGTGTCACTTATCCATGCCGTGGGCCACTGAAAAAGTGTATTTACCTGATTTGTTTACTGATATAACACCAAAAATGTTTGCTGAATTTAGTGAAATCACTTATAGGTACTAAGAAATAAAAAAAATATAGCCACTAATAATTGTTGAAATTTCAACTTTAACACCCTGTATTTCAGAAACGAGTAATATTTTATCTAAACATGTTTTGTTTAATCATTTTCAATCAGATAATCTTCAGTTGTTCTGTGGTGCATTCTTAATGACACACCCTGTATATGCCTGAAGGAGTCTCAAATGGTGGCACAATAAGCCTAGAAGGCTGTAATGCCTTAGATGTTCTAGAGACATACTAGAGTGAACAAAAAAGAAAATTACTTGATATTTTGTTTAAGTCAATTCACTAGTATTGTATTAAAACTTTTGGGGCAATCTGTATACACTGTGGATTTAGCAGAAAGTAACTAATTGGTTTACTGTTACTCTCATAATGCCTACTAGAAAAATATCATTATTTTCATGCTAATAGCATTTTAATTACTATGGCAATTTAATGTAAAGTGATTCATTGCCAAAACTTATTTAAATTCTATAAAATTGAAGCTGATAGTGAAAGAATAATAATAGTTTCCTTTATAATCTTTAAATAACAAACTTTTACATGAGGATACAAACTATTTCTTGAGTCTTTGGAATGTCAAGGTTATGAAATTAAATTGCCATTAATTTCCTTAAAATAAGTATTTATAGTTTTAAAAAGTTGACATTCTCACAAAAATGTATTAACTTTTTCTATGTTTTATGTTTTTGCAAGATGATAAAGAATGTTTCTAATTATTTAAAAACTTTAATAAAAGTATAGGGAATGCAAGAAAAATTTTTAACCAGGAAAGAATTTATAAAATTTTAAAAATGTGTCTACAGAATAAACCTACAACTCATAATTAAATCAGTTCTATAATCATAAAAAAATATTGTAATATAGATGATTCAATACCTACCATTGCATTTAATCTATAGGGTGTTAGCCCAAAGAGATCTTGTTAATTGACAAATTTTTATATAGAAACATAAACATAAAAGGCTTAGTTACCGAGAAAGTTTTAAATCAAAATTTGCCATAAATCAAAAACGTCTGTAATTTTTTTTTTCAAATTTGATCTACCAAGATCTCGTAAATACATGAACTATGCGTTTTTACATAAAAATTTTTATATAAAATCATCATATAGATTTATTTGATATCAATAAAACCAAAAGTTGAGCAAAATCCTGAGTGCCAATAGTATAGAAATTAATTTGACAAGCTACCCAAAACTGAAATATTACTCATAAACAAAAAAAAAAATAGTTAATGCAACTGTCAATATTTAAGACAATCAAGGCCTACCTATGTCAATTTAAATGGATCAATAGGACCATTTTCTGTATGTTTTCCATTAATAATTTAGAATTTAAATACCAACAAAATAAATATTTGAATTAATACCATATTTTTCGCGCCGTTCTCAATTCAAACGAGAAATAATATTTTATAACCTTATTTTTAATGTGTCAACACAAAAATGTAGATCACTACACAACCAATAAATCTAACAAACATTTTGTAATATTTTTATCTCGAAAGAATGGTACAAGTTCAATATTTACACAAAACAAAATTTGTAAGGTATGTATTCCAAAACACCTGTTATCCTGTAATGGGTATAATGATAAGACAAATAGATAAAATTTGATCAGTCCCATAATTAATAATAGGCGTAAAAATAGATTGAAATGTAATAAAAAACGTACTTGACTTACCCTTCTATAAGAGAAAAGTTCCTTTTGTAATTTTTGTCTCTCTGCAGATTGATGGGGCCCTTTGGCCTTTATAAATTTAAACATTTTGTAAACCTATCCAATCCTGAAACAAAACAATGGAATATAATATTCTAATTATTACTCTTAAAACTGCAATAAACCAAAACAATTGACAATTTAGATATAATGGTCGAGGTGTAGCCGCAAATATTTATAAAACAATGTCAAAACACAAAACCAAAAACAAAACCTCTTTGCATATGTCAATTGAAAAGGCCAGACAACGCCTGCTTTTGAGTAGATTTTATTACAACAAACTTAATATTTCTACGAAGAGCATTATAAAATAAAGCCTTTAAAATTACCTGGTATCCTTTAATGCAATAAAAATAATATAAACACTTCCATTAATTATTGCACACAACACAAGAGCGTGCCCAAACGCTCAACTGCATTACACGTAGATTGGTCACTGACCGGCGGAATATGAAAAGTAGGCGGAGTTCGACAGTTAGACGTTTTGGTGATTTTTATTTGTCGATCGAGTCGAATATTTACGATGATTTAGTTAGCTATCACATAGGGGGCACCACCTCACGGACATGGTATAATTTTAAAAATAAAACCAAAAGATGTCACTTTCAAAACTTCTATGCAGATAGCTAATTATTCTATTACAAAAGTGGAATAACAAAGATTTTGTATGTTCAAATCAAATAATAAACGTAAAATCGGTGTATGAACCTTAAAATTATTAGTCATGTAGTAATTTCAATATTTGAAATTGTAGAAAACGCTATGTTGTTATAGAAAGTTTTATATCCTGTTCTTAGATGGCGCGCTAGAGGTAGTAAACGGCAAATTGGTTGCCTACATAGTAGGAAAATATATCACTTTTTTTAAAATGCATTTTTTATGTGACTTGTAAGCATTAAATATATTGTAATAAGTTTTGAAATTATTAAAGATAATTTACAGATAAATTGAATTATTAAAATGTTTAAACAAAATTTTTAGAAAACATTTATAGTTTTCTAAAAATATTTTAATTCAGCATTCTTTTCTATTAAGAGACAGATGTCGACACTAGTAATATTTTGAATTATTTTAAAAAGGACAGGTAGATCAAAGTTTGTTATCAACGTGCATATAAATTCATTGAGTTATACGATTATACAGAAGCTTAGAAGGACCACAACATATTTCTTTTTATTTTGTCGGAAAAAATTATTATTCCGACTTAGAACACGCTAAAATCGATTTTTCTGACTTAGAACTCGAAAAATAGATTATTTCGACTTAGAACTTGCGATTTTTCTATATTACAACTCGAAAGAATATTCTAAATAATCTATTTAGCTGAGTTCTAATTAGATAATCTATTTTTCTGAGTACTTAGTCGAAATAATAGATTTTTTTCTACGATTACTATCCAAAGTAGGCTTTTGCGCTTCGAAATACAACCGCAAAGTTGACGTTTTCCGCGAACTGACATTGCCAGCTTTGTCGCTCGCTGAGCGGAAAACTTGACAGCTCTGTGGCTCGCCTAATTTAAATTAGGCATAATATATTTCTTTTTAATAAATAAGTTTGAAGTTATTTGTACATAGTTTGATGTTTCATTTTGTTTTTTTTTTATCCAAAATAACATTGACTTTGAATATCAACTCATTTTTTCATGATAAGCGTAGATATAGGCAACACATTATACACTACTTATGACAAATTTTCAATTTTTTTATCAATTTCTTAAAATGTGATCGTAGAAAAGTTCGTTGCCGCTTTCAACAGATTGCCACGCTCCTCTACGCGTCGCGCGGCAACTTTTTGTCTTATGCAAAGTATCACTTAATACACAAATAGCTATTATTTCCGAGCTTCAAGACGGAATAATTGATTTTTCCAAGTTTTAAGTCGGATTAATCAATTTTTCCGAGTTTTAAGTCAGAAAAATCGATTTTTTTCGAGTTCTAAGTCGGAATAATCGGGTTTTCCTAGTTCTAAGTCGGAATAATCTATTTTTCCTTGTTCTAAGGGCCCTATTCAGTAATTTATCGTTTATGGACGACATCGTTAAGCTAACGACAGTTCAACCAACGACTTTTATAACGATAATTTTTGAAACTCTATTCAATAACCAAGTCTTTACGTTGTTTGTAGTTACCAAATCTGAACGATGATTTCTAGTAAGTTGGTATTACAATTTAGTGTTTTGTGATAAAAGAACGTATGTTTTGGTATATATACTGGGGTATGTTGATGATTATATACCGGGTGTTTAAATTAAAGTTTTACGCATGGAGGAAGGATACGGTTAAATATCGCCAAAAATATTCATTTTATAAAAAAAGTATCAGACAAAAGTTTTATAGTTTTTTAGGGGAAACATTTTGGCTAAATTAATTTTTTTATAGCTGCCATAATATGGCCATATCGAGGTGGATTTTTTTTTCAAATTGGAACCCTATTTTTTTACATAGGTATTCTTAGAGTTCATAAAAAAATAAGAAACTTCTAAAGGAAACATTTTTTTATTGGATTTTTACTTATTGAGTAACACCTACTTGAAAATTTTGCTGCGCGAAAAAAGTAGGCCATATATGGTTATATATAAAAAAACGATTTTAGCCAAAATGTTTTCCCCAAAAAACTATAAAACTTTGTTTTTTATAAAAGGCAGTATTTAACTGTAACACTTTAATTTGAACACCCGGTATATTTGACATTTTTTTGGAACAAAATAAAAATTCTACTAGTAAATATATTCATTTATTTTTCAGAATATATTATTGTTCTTAACCTACTTACAACACGATCAAAGGGTCGATTCTCGATTCGTAGGAATTCTGTTTCTCGCAGGCCATTTTTGCTGGTCGTATTGTATGTAGGATTTATTTAAATGAGTATGGATATATTAAAAAAACAGAACTATTCCAAAAGAATACAAAAAACAACTCGAGAACAGTACAAGTTGTATTTATTAGATTTGAAAGACAAACCAAATTTGATACTATCAATCGCCTTTTTCCTGATTATCTTTTCTGTTGATGTTATCGGCTTAGACAACTCAGGCCATTAGCCTTGTTTTCTGTGTAGGTTACGTAGAAGTATTATAGGTACTTCCATAATATAGGTTTTGTTACTGTTTCGCAGAGCTACTTTAGGAACAGCACTGTTAATAAGAATCCAATAGTAAATAGTTGAATGGGCAATCCTAACTTTGAATCTGATTTATTTTTAAAATAAATAAATTAGAAAAAAATTCCTTACAAATTGTACTTGCTGTATTAGGCAGATGGCAATTTAGTTGTAAAATTTGTAAAAAAGTGCTTTTATTATTTAGAACACATTCTGATTCACAATGAAAAATGAGAGGGAATGCAAAAATCACTATAACGATACTTTATATTATTAACGACAGCTCTGTGGCTATCGTTGATGAACGACAATTTTACAATCATATTTGTCTATTTTCAATGACAATCGTTGTCTACTGAATAAGAAAAGTCGTCTGTGAACGATTATCGTCTATTAACGACGTCGTTCAGAGTTACTGAATAGGCCCCTTGGTCAGAAAAAACAAGTTTTTCGAATTATAAGTCGCAATAATCGATTTTTTTCAAATTTTAAGTCAGAATTATCAATTTTTCCGAGTTCTAATTAGGAATAATTTATTTTTTCGAGTTCTAACTCAGAAAAGTCGGGTTTTCCGAGTTTTAACTCCGAATAATCTATGTTTCGTTGTTCTAAGTCGGAATAATCAATTTTTCTGAATTTCAAGAGGGAAATATAATTAAGAAAATGTATATTGTGACCCTTTCCTATAAAGAATACATTTTTGTCACACTCTTATGACCTTTTATGCCACCAAAAACTAGCTCATCAGTTATCTATTACAACAATGAGGTATGCCTGATGGGAGGTACGATTTTTCTGGTGTGCCTCAAAATTTAAAAAGCATATTTAAAAAAAAAATAAACAACGAATAAATAAATATTTTATTCATCTTTACACTGGTTGTCGTTTTAATAACTAGACTTACATATTCTAAACATAAACATAATTTTAGGTACAAATTTACAATCGCTAAGTAAAAAAATATGAAATTAAATGACTAGTACATTTTGGTTCGATATTAACAACTATAATACCTATACATATTTACAATTCAGTCGTTATTTCATCTTGAGGTCTAAAACCTAACTGATAAAAATCGTCTTCCAAAAAAATGGAATTATTCAACAATTCCTTACTAGTTTTCCAAGAAGACGGATTAAATTCCGACGAAGGCATATTATTAACTAGTGAATACTCAAATTTCCACTGAGGATTCAGAGGTAGATGACACTTAGAGTCATAATTGCTATTAAAAGTTTGAACAGCTAAGTCTTGTAAACTCAAACTACTCGTAGAACCAAACATTTGTTCGGGTTTAAAAGTACTCATTGTGGTACTTTCCCTACTACTGCCCAGCTCTCCGCTCAAATCGTGCCCCACAGAGCCCTGCAAAAAATCCACCAACTGCGCCACTTGCGGATGCGACGTTTCGCTCATCCTTTTGTACCTCTTCAAAGCTTTCCCAGCCCAGTTGAACAGATGCTCCCAGTCTTCTGGCATTACTATTCTATCTACAGGTCTATTTAGTAATAGCAAAATTTTAGCCAAGTCTCTAACGACCGGCCTGTAAGCGGAAATAGCGGAGCTATCGCCATCTGTGTGTAGTTCTCTGATTTGACGTCTGGTGTCGTTCATCATGTCTAAATAGGATTGGGCGTAGGGTCTTAAAGTTTCTAATTGTTTAACGAAATCTTTTCTTTCTGGGGAATCGTCCAATTCTGAACTTGTTTCGCTCGCCGTAGGTATACCTTTTTTCCTAAATTTTATGTATATAATAGCTATGGTTAATAGTACTATACATAATATAGAACCGGTAGCGACACCAGTGAGTACCGCTAGGGCGTTATTTGACAACCCAAAGAGGTTGCCGTTGTGTTGGCAGATTTTGCCGATGAAGTCGACCATGGTGCTCCATTTTTGTACGTGTCCGAACGGGCATTGGACGACACATTCTCTTGTTGGGTAGATGATGAGGTTGGCACATTTTATGCATCCTTTGACGGTGCAGCGTAAACAATCTTCGGCCTCGCAATCTAAAAAGAAAAAAAAATGTTATTTATAGTAAAAGATTACGCGTACAACAATAGTTATTTACGTGTCAAGCTCGGAAAGTGATACTTTACAGGGAGAGCATGCAAGTTTCAGGCCGACGCCAAAGGCAGAGCCCTGAAAGCATGCGAGCCCTGTAAATGCACTTTCCGAGTGTGGCGCGTACAATATTTTTTGTGCTGCCACCAATAATTTGACAATAATATAGGAACAGAATATTTATTGCTAAAAATTTATAACAAAACATCAAAAACATCTACTGACAGATGGCTACGGTATTGTCATGGCAACTGTGATATTTGACATTCGATCATATATTGGAATAGATACGCCTTGTTTACATAAACAATTGTCGTATGATAATAAGGCCCATAATAACATGC